GGGGGGGGACATGGGGTGTACTAGAAAATATTTATTTCAAGTTTTTCCAAGCATTATCTTGCATATTTAGATTAATATCAAATATAAATAAATTAGATATTAATTCAGTTGTATTAATATATAAAAAAAATACTTTTTTCCTTTTCTTCTATATTGATTATATATTACATATATCTATTATATATCTTTATATTTACTATCACTACATTATATTTCTCATGTTGGGTGATCAGTGTATTACAGCAACCAAAACAAAAACAACAACAACAACCCATGACTCAATACAATAAATACAGTTTCACAAAAAACACATTTAGAAAAGTTAAATGTTATACTGTGTCAATATCAATCAATATCAATCATTCCAAATCCAAATTAGAACTTTGGCACAACCATAAACTGTAAATAAAGAAGGGACGTCTCTGAAAAGTGAGGCCAATCCAAAAGTGCTTTAAATGCCTCTCTGAGAATTAGAAGGTGAAATATTGAATTTGATGTGTGCAGAAGAAAACAGTTTTCCATGTCAGACAAATATCTTGAAAGAAAAAAGATTATTATTATTATTATTATTATTATTATATTTTATAATAATAATAATAATAATAATTATTATTATTATTATTATTATTATTATTATTATTATTCATATCATTAAATTAAATCTTTTAAAGTTTTGTTTTGTTGAATGGCTGTGAAGAAGGTCTGTTATTATCAGTCTTCTGCAGGTTAACATCTCACTATTTTTGCTGTCTTTTCCAGAGTAAAAGTAAAAAAATTAAAGTAACCATAAAACTGCAATCTACCTAAGTTTTACGCAATATGCAAAATGCAGCTACAGTAACTGCTCCTAACTTCTAACAACTGGGTGAAACTGATAGAAGGTTGTGTTTAGAGACTCAGTGATTTGTGAATCTCTAAACAAACCTGTAGATCAGAAAGTGATGTCTCGGTGAAAAGATGCATCACAACTGAATCAAACATGACCACAGATGAAACAAGTAAAATAACAGTTAAAAAAAGATTTAAAGGATATTGAGATAAAAATAAGAATATGTAGTGTCAGTGTAAGGGCTATCAGCTTCCTTTTCAACTTCCTTAATGAAAATACATTAAGGATACTTGTTGTGGATTCAATCATTTTATAAGTCACTAAACACCATTAAATACATTTCACATATGTGTCGATGAAATACAGCCCTTAAATTATTTTAGTACCATTCAGATTTGTAAATGTAAATTTGTGACAAGCATAAGGTACAGTGCTGCACTGCAGCTTTAATGGTTCATATGATATTTTCCTAATGACTGAAATTTGATTTTAAAAATGTGTTAAGTCAGAAGAAAATGATTACACCATTTGTTTGGAAAATGAATCACTACATTTCCGAGAAAAAACATTTAGAGACACAACAGCTCACACAAGGACTCACTCTGCTTTTTAAGCTCTTCAGTCTTTTTAGTCAGCAGATCTCGCTCCTCAGTCATGGAAGAAAGTTGGTTACTGACTGCAGAGAAGTTTTTAGTCAGCAGATCTCGCTCCTCAGTCATGGAAGAAAGTTGGTTACTGACTGCAGAGATGTTTTTAGTCAGCAGGTTGCTCTTCTCAGCCTGTGCCGACACATGTTCAGCTGAATTGTGGTCTGAAATAAAAGGAAATAACATTGATGCTTTCATTGATTGGCACAAAAGATCTAAATAAAAAATATTTTAAAATTCTGACTGTAATTTGTGAAACATATTAATTATGTAAACCAGTTTTATGCTTGCACAAGTTATTGTTGCTGTGATCTTGTCGTCTTCAAGATAATTTCAAGAGGATCTTGAAATGGAAGAATCAAAAATTCCACATTGCATTCCAAATTTTATTAAAAATTACATACATTAAATTACATTAAAAATAGCTCTTAATCATTCACATGGTGACTGATGATCAGTAGAACAACTATCCATGAAAAATCCAACTCACAGAAGAAACTAAGTGTGATAAGTCCAACCAGCAATAAAACAGTGAGCAGCTCAGGGAGAGAATAACACCCAAATAGAAACTTCTCCTAGAGCTCCTCTGACCTGAAAAGAAGACAAAAAGAAAAACAAACAAACAAACAAACAAGGAACCCAAATAAATGTTCAGTAGTAATAAGAGATGTTATAACCTCCTTGCTCTATCACTTCCCTTTTACCTGTGTAATTTGTTGAAGGTGTTGGGTTGTCAGGTTTAACACATTCATCATTGGCATATATTGCCTCCATTGCATACATGGATTTGGGTTGTTTTGGAGAGCTCAGCTCTGCAGCACGGGATGAGTGAAGTGTGAAAGTCTCACTGGTTTCAGTTGATTCTCCTTTTAAATTCAGAGGAAGTCGCATATTTCAGTGGTTTGTGCAGCTATGCAACCACTGAAACTTGATATGTTCTTAATTAAGCCGTATATACATGTGATAGTCATACGAACTCAAACTGCTTTTCATGGTTGTGTAAAAATATAATTTTGGTTAAGTGTAAGTAAAACAATGTATGAAAATGTGTGTGATTTAATTATCACTACTACAA